CCCTGTGAACTTGCGTCAACTTTCAGTCATTAGTGATGAAGTTGTGGTTCGAACGAGGAACAGACGCGTCCTGCCGAACTTGACACTTGTCTGACTCACGACTGCCATCCGGAGCACACGAGGAGCGAGTCGCACCTTCCACTCTGCAAACCTGCAAGAAAGCACCACTCCCTGCTCAATACACATACAGTCGAACCTCTTTAGGACGAACACCAAGGGACCGGCGGTATTTGTTCGCAATAACGGGAGTTCTTCTTATCCGTATGTCTTGCCCAGTGAATACACAGTGATGAACCCAACAGCGCTTGGAATTCTAGTTCTTCTTAAGCGAAAGTTTGTCGTATCAGTGCTCTTCTTAACGAGGTTTCACTGTACCAGTGTTTCGGGGAATTCCCCCCTCATCAGTTGAGCTCGAGTGGGCTTGAGTAGTCGTTTGACCTTGTAAAAACAGTACGGCGACCTACTAACGCCACTTCTCCAAGAAAGGTTCCGAGCCTTCGTATTGCGTTCGCCACCTGCACGGCTTTCACGTTGTTCTCACTTTTTATTTCTCTCCCATCGCAGCATTCCTTGCACCACAGTTTGGTGATACAGTCAGACCTCGCATAACCGCACACATCCGTTTTCCACGAAAATATCCGGATAGGCGAGGGAACCGGATAGTCGAACACACATACTGTGTGTATGCATGACATATGCTGTAAATCGGTAACCAGCGATTTTCTTCCGGATGGCGAAGGATGCGGATAAAAGAGGACCGGATAAGCGAGCCTGACTGTATCAGGTGTGTGTGGTGGGGGTGACTTCTTTCTTCAGAAATTGTTCATGGCGTATTGTTATGCTACTATTTACTAGTTGAGGGAAAGAGACAAACGGGAAAAATCTGAAGAAAAAATTGACTGTCACCACCAGGACTCGAACCCGGGACCTGCGCTTGAGGCCAGCGATGCTCTAACCGCTGACCTATGGTGTAGCTGTCATCCAAGCGGAGACTTGTTCAACATTTTCGCGGCGTATGTTACTCAATTTTTCTTTCGTGTCTTGTGATGGTACATGTCTTGTGAATCTTTTACAGCCCAGTTCCTTCTTTGCTGATCACCTGAAGTCTTTCGAGGTCTGGCTGAAGAATGGATGGCAGGCGGATAGACAGCCGGAGCACCTTCCAATTGTCTTGCAGGTACGTACATATGGGTGTGGGTGTGGGTTGCACAGTGCCTCTATGAACGCTGCAAGCCAGTGCACGTGGAGCGTGGCAGCCGCCCGGTAATCCTCACTGACTCACCTTCGACTGGAAACGAGCTCCACACAAGATTAGGGAGCTGGTGTAGTGTCATAATATTATGACCCTACAGTACAGTCATAACGTATAGTCAGGTTCCCAGACAGTTTGGCCTAAGGGGTCGTCGCCAAAGTGTTTTTGTCGTCCCGGAAACGGGCATCGTTCTGTAGTCAAAGACTAGAACAAGACTAGAGATCGATCAGCCTGCGCCAGCGCAGCCTTCAGGGTATATCTAAAACTATGGAGGGAAAAATGTAACACAATTTTCTCGGACAACTCACATTCAGACACCAACTCTACGTCATCCCGATAACGCTTATATCTAGTGGAGGTAGGGGCTGGGATGGGGAGGTGGATGACCAGTGCGCCTTCGTGCCCGCCGATCAGCGGCATGGCGGCGAGCCCGGGCGATGTAGGCGGCCGATCGGACTCGCCGATGTGTCCGCTGCGCCTGACGTCGGCGGATGACACATCGTGCATCCTCTTGCCGTGGCATCAGGGGACGGAGAGGTTGGGGAGGTGGAGGAGGCGGCGGTGGTGGTGGTGCCGATAGCTACGGCGGTGGCCCGTGGAGCGCAGCCTTCAGGGTATATCTAAAACTATGGAGGGAAAAATGTAACACAATTTTACTCAGACAACTCACATTCAGACACCAACTCTACGTCATCCCGATAACGGTTATATCTGGTAGAGGTAGGGGCTGGGATGGCTAGGTGGATGACCAGTGCGCCTTCGTGCCCGCCGATCAGCGGCATGGCGGCAAGCTCAGGCGATGTAGGCGGCCGATCGGACTCGCCGATGTGTCCGCTGCGCCTGACGTCGGCGGATGACGCATCGTGCATCCTCTTGCCGTGGCATCAGGGGACGGAGAGGTTGGGGAGGTGGAGGAGGAGCCGGTGGTGGTGGTGGTGGCGATAGCTGCGACGGTGGCCCGTGGACCGGGTGCTGGTGCACCTGCACCGTGATGGTACGGCCCAGTGCACACCACACAGAACACAGGGGAAGAAACACAGCAACCAACAAACCAGAGACAGCAAGTTATGGGTTAGACTGCACAGGGGACGAACAGTCTACGGGAGACAGCGAGGACGAGCGCCCGGCTAGCTCAGTCGGTAGAGCATGATACTCTTAATCTCAGGGTCGTGGGTTCGAGCCCCACGTTGGGCGCCAATGTAGTCAAAGAAGGACTACGACTACTACTGGTCTTGCTACTGCTACAAC